ATTGGTGTTTCACAAAAATCGATCGGACAGAGTTGAGATGGCATTTTAGGCCACGCTCGCCATCTTGGAATTTAAAACATCTGAGTAAAATGTGAATTTGCAGTAAAAAAAAATCACACTTTTACCGAGTTTCACAAAACTCGATCAGATAGGAGCTGAGATACCTTTTTGGACACATCCGACATCTTGGATTTTCAACTCTTGAAAATTGGGCTTATAACGCGTGATATCCCAAATCTGAGCTCAGATTCAGATTCCTCGTGAAAAATCGATGTCATTCCATGTATCATAATGTTAGTATAGCGTTTAGGAAAGATGGATTCACATCCGTCCGTTTGAACCTTTGAGGTATGCCGCCAACGGGTGTGAGGTTCCTGGAATCTGCCCTTAGCGCCAGCAGCGGCGCCAAGCTTTCGTTTTCGTCCCGCAGAATTTCTGAGAAGATAAACTTCTTCTTACTCATCCGCCTACACACTCAGTTGCCCTCACCCATGTTGCCACGTTGGACTGATATGTCAGAATCAGTGTGCCTTTTCCCTTCACGCTATGGCAGAGTATGATACATGTAATCATGTTGGTTTTTAATGAGGAATCCGAATCTGAGCATAGATTTTGGATGTCATGCATTTTAAGTTAAATTTTTAGAGTAGCTCCAAAAGCAATTTACTCTTAGCTCGTGAAGCGACCTTGATATGGACGCTCTCTTCGACACATTTGTGCATTAGGTACATACCTATTATCCTTTGAAACGGTATTTTTCAAATTGTAGGAGAAACTACAGGACTGTTCGTAATATGATACCCTGTATTTGATTTGAACCGTAAAAATAATGAGGTTGACTTTATGACCTCACTTGACAACGATGTTGAAAATAGTAAATAATAAGAGTAGAGAAGCGGTGAAGGGGAGGGGTACTGTACTTCTCTCGCAAGGCTGCGAAGAAGTGTCATACGCTAAAAAATGGGGCGCATAGTTGCCTTTAACAGCTGATAATAAGTGTTAAACATGTTGATTTCTATGTTTTCTGTGATTTGAAAGAATTCTGTGCGTCTTTGTGATCTCGTTTCTAAGTTGAGTGAAGATTTTTAGTTAAATTACCGGTTATTAATCTACTTCTTTCCTAGTCCTAACCTATCACTCCTATCAGTGTCAATGGAAAGTTCTCCACATATTTACAATTTATAAGTGTCTCAGGATTTCTCTGCGCTGGAAATCATGAGTGGGGAAGTGGAAGCAAATTTTGACCCAACAGGTAATGATTCCTTGGTCGACACAGTTCTCATAGTTCAAAATGAAGGTCTAGAAACATCATCCTTTTTTGTCCCTTCGCTCAAGGAGAACAGAACCTATGAATGTAAACAGTGCCAAGATGTCTTCATTTCCAAAGATAAACTAGCGCTTCACTATGTGATGAATCACAAATTTGAGTTTTGCTCAATTTGTATGGAGGTTGCTGAAACAGTTGACTTGCTCAAGGATCATCAGTATGAGCAACACTTTCCGCTGCGGTGTGAATCTTGTCAATTTATCACAAACTCAATTGAAGATATGTCCTTTCATCGAGAAGACAATCACAAATTATTACCTTGCCCATTATGCTCAGTAATGTTTAACAGTAGTTTAGAACAAGAGAATCATGTGAAGAGAAAACATTTTGTTTTATCAAAAGAATTTAGCATTGATAATGGCATAGTCTCTGACTGGGATCTCATGAAATGGGGCTACAAATGCCTTTTGTGCAATAAAATTAGAGAGAAGCGTGAAATAGTTGGACATTTCCGAGGCTTTCACCGTTTGTCCATTTACGCTTTAATCAAGAATCTATTTTCTCAAAATGTCATAATTCCTGTTATTGGTACAATCAATTCAGCTAAAACTACCGGGATGCCTCAACCAATGAAGAATTCATCTTGCTCTTCATGTAATTATTCAAGCGTTATCCCAGAACTAGCCCACAATGTCTTATGTTTCGGTGAGTTTCTATGCAAATATTGCCCATCATCATTCCCTTCAGAGGATCAACGAGAAGTACATAAAAGTCAAGAGCATAGCAAGCTTGAATGCAAACTGGAATGTGAAGATGCTGCTTTCAAAACTGAAGATACGCTGCAAACTCATTACATGACCGTTCATAAAGCGAGAATTTGTAATTTATGTGAAATAACAGTACCGCTCCCAGATATCTCTATGAAAGACCATCTGAAAAATGTGCATAAATACACAAATCTACTCACTGAATGTGAAGCTGACCTGACGATTTTCAAAGCAGAAGAGAAAACTAATGGCTTCCTCCTGAGCTGTGTCTTGTGTGGATTTGATTTATCGTCTGCTTTTGTTGACGTTCCTGTCCTATTTGACCATATCAGTCAGCACAATATCAATTTGAATGTTGCATTGTACCTCCTTGATGACCTTGGATTTTTCAGAAAGAGATTCAATTTCAAAGGTAAAATTGAAGTTGAGTCAAGTGTTGCCAAAGAAAAAATATCTACTCAGAGTTCAGTGATACCAGAAAGCCGAGAGGAATCAATTCCTGCCACTCCAGAAGATTCCCAGCCAAATCATTTAAAACATCAATCAGACTCAGAAACTGAGGAAATTGAAGGCAAGACAGATGACCTGTTTGTGGATGACCACTTCCTGCACTCTGTTATTGGTAAAAACAAAGGTAAGTCCAAATTTTACCGAAAAAAGACATCATTGACCAATAAAAATAATGATGAAGAAAGTACTTTTGATCATCTTTCTGGTGATAATATGGATGAGAGCTGTTCAGAATACGATCCTAATGAGGAAGACTCAAGTGACGATTCAGACCTGGACTTCGAGAAGCAGAAAAAGTCATCTGATCAAATGGATGATGATGATAATGATGGTCTTGAACTGTTTAATGTAATTCCAGAAATAGACCCGAATGAAGTTGAATGCTACGTAACTGAGAGTAGTGATGTTGATGATGATGAAGAAGTTGAGGCTCGAAGCATCAAAATTGAAAATTTAGATCTCAACAAAGAGCTTGATGACATCCAACTTTTGGGCAGAAATTCTGACAAAAACAGCACCTGTAGTAGTTATTTTATCAGCAGTGTCAAAATAGGATTAAACTGGTTAGAGCACCAACCTGATGGATTCTTCTGTGAGGTCTGCAGCGGAAAGTTTGAACCGAGAGAAGGACTGCGCGAGCTGTTGAGGCATATGAAAATTCTTCATGGTTTCAAATCAAATGTCAGTACGCAACACATGTTAAGTCAGTTTGATAACTTTGGACGTGTGAAGGAGGTCTTCTCTCATATTGGACCAGGTATGTAAAATTTTATTCCTCTCTTGTTCAATTTAAAGTTTAAAGTTAAAATCACATGTTCGGTTTAAAACTTTCATACCTACCTCAGCACAATTTTTCTTTCCTTTTTTTAACAAAAAAAAAAAAAAAAAACTCAGATAAAGTAATATTTTTATTAAAAAAATTGGCATGCAACAAGTGATAGGGGTTTGCTTGCGAAAGTATTTTCTACACTCCGGATTGATACTGGAAGTTTCTCAGAATTAAATTAGTTCTTTATTTACGTCATGTTCATGAGTGAGTCACTGCCAAACTGACAATGAGTACTTAAATTTTGTATCTTGCATTTCAGTTTTTCCATGTCCATTCTGCCCCATTCGGTCTTCCTCAAAGAGACTATTACGACGGCATGCGATCAAGTTCCATGGAAACACCTGGTTGCAAGACCCACCCGAAGGACCGATGGCTTTCAAGTGCTCCATTTGTCCCACCAATTTCTGGCAGATGAATGAGAGGTCAGCTCATGAATATGCAGATCATGCGGATTCAGCCATCCTGCGATGTTACCATTGTTGGGAGCCATTTTTCAGAAAGGTATACATCCTTGTTTATAATTCCGATTCCTTTTCTCATCACCTGTAATAGAATGTCATGCAGTTACAAAAAGTCATGATTCGTTTAAGTATTCCTCAGTCGTGCTCGGTTCACTCAAAGAATCCTCATCACTTGCTTGGCAAGTAAGTTGAAAACTTGCTTGGCAAGTAAGTTGAAAACTTGCTTGGCAAGTAAGTTGAAAACTTGCTTGGTACTTAGGGATTACATGCTGAAAATCTGCGCTATCTTTTTTATAGCATTGCTAAGGCCAGTCTGATCTGAAGATCATCTGCGAAATTTCCTAATCAGGGGCTGATTTCCCTGATTTGCAGTCTCGCTAGTATTTTAAAGTTATTCCCCGATTTGAATGATTGGTTCTAATCTCTGGATATCCATAGGATTGATCTAATTAAATCAAAGGAACCGTAGAGAATAGCAAGCAAATTAGGGCAATTTTTGGCAACATAGGTCGAGCATACCACCATTTAACAAAGCTTATTCCTCTCAACTCGGATATCAGACTCACCTGAGTCAGTTCACCTGGGTGCTACATCACCTCTGAATCATAAAATTTATTCTTATCACTTCCTCATTTATTATTATCAGAGAGTTTATTTAAGAAGAAATATATTGATTGGAACCTTGTCCCTCGTAATGAAGGTTCTTTTTTAACCCCTGAAAAGTTGTCCTCATTGCATGTATTACTTACATTGCATTGCATTTCGTTCAGTCGATCAGTTGCACCGCTAGTGCTCCACTACCACGGCTCAAGTAGTATACTTGGGTTCAGCTAAGCTCTGTAGCTCATATACATAAAACCTTTATGTATGGGAAAAGGCACCAGTCTGTGTGTTTCTTCTCTCTTAACCCTCTTGATCATCATGAATGCAGCTCAACAATAATTTGCTATCTTTTCTGTTTTAAATTTTAGATAATGCTCAATCAGCATATCAAGAAGTCCCACCCAGATGCGCCTCTCTATACGACTGTCTCTTACAAGTGTCGTCAGTGTCGAGCTCTTTGTCCTTCATTCGAAGTCCTTCGAAATCATTTCAGAGATAAACATCCACATATCACCGTATTTCGATGTCCTCACTGTGATGTCACGCTGAAAACCAAAAAGTCCTTAAAAGCGCACTTTAAGGTTTGTTCTCATTTTACCTTAATTTGTAAGACATCAATTTCATTTGCCTTTCCAAGCCTTCTCTCAAATCTTGTAATGAAAAATCAGAATTTGTTCAGCTTCATTTTAAGCTGATAAGTAAGTTCAGCTTAATTTATAATTTTGTCTCTTCAGGGTTTATAATTTATCTACACAAGGTGCACAGTATCTCTTTAACTTTTGGCTCTAATTTCCTCATACTCCTCTGCATCTTCTTCCTTTGATTAGGCCATAAGCCCTGTTTGTCCAGCCATTATTGTATAGGCACATATAAATGGAATAAAATGGATGAAAATTGATTCAATCAATAAAAGTAATAAAAATTTATGTTTAACCTAACGGACAGTCGTTAAAAATTAAAACATGAAACGCACTTATTCATCTTATGCCTCATATTAGTTACTAAAAAATTCCAAGTGAAATAATTCAATATTTCGTTTTTCAATGTCCGTTTTAATTATTGATAGTGAATCAATCATTTTACAGGGCCAGCATCTGCAAGAATCTGGAATGTACGAATGTGATCAATGCGGTAAAACAGTGTGGAGCAAGCGAGCGCTTGGTGCGCACCGAAGGTTGAAACATATGAACTCCAGACTTGGTTTCAGATGCCGTCTATGTGGTTTGCGATTTGCTAATAAGGATGAAAGGTATAGAAACTCTCCTATTGTATCTAATGTCTTTTGAGTTTTTCTACACAAGTTGTTTTGCAAGAAGTAATCTTTTATCTTAAGTTAAGAAAGGATATGTTTTGATAAAAGTTTTCAGCTTTATTGGGGAACATTTACGAATTAGAATGTCATAAAACTAAGTGCATCTATATGCTTTCAGTTTGCTCAAAATCAGCATGAAGCTTTAACACACTTCTTCCTCTTACAGAAGTAGAAGCAGCATTTTTGCCTAGGATTAAGCATATCATGAACGGCTCCTTACTTCAGGATGCGAGTGCCAATCTTTTTTGAAAAGTGTCCACCTGAGAATACCTTCTTTTCTTTTTCCTTTTAAAGGACAGAAGATTAGGACAAAAATAGCAGAGATAACCAAAATTGCTCATGAAAATGGACCTCTAGGAAGGATAAAAATCAGAGTACCTTAAAACACTTTTTCCAACCAAAATTGCATGGATTTTTTGAAACGAATATGTTAAATTTAACCAAACTTTTATGCCTGAAAAATGGGCCTGTTGCAAACTTTTGCTAGAGCAAAAATAAGAGTTGTTTCTTATAGATAATGCCTCAGAAATCACGATGAGCGCATCGGCAAAGTCTGAAATGCACTCATAACTTCACAATCTGCGTAAGAAATTTGCGTTTTTTTAAGCTTCCCGCTTCAAAAACGATACTACGGCACAAGTGAACATTTTGTCAGAGGAGTCGCTCCATCGTCGGCGATATTCATCATGGCCGACACTTGCGCGCAGTTTTGCGCGTAATTCGAGGAGAGTTCAAGGTCAATCAATGCGGGCGTGGAAAACATGAACGTTAAAACACGCCGATTGTTATCTGGTCTAATCCAGTTCAGGTATTATCTCGTCCCATCACACGTGTTTTGGCGGATTGGCGTCGGCCATGATGAGTATTGCCGACGATGGAACGACTCCTCTTACAAAAGGTTCACCTGTGCCGTAGTATCGCTTTTGAAGCGGGAAGCTCAAAAAACCGCAAATTTCTTACGCAGACTGTGAAGTTATGAGTGCATTTCAGACTTTGCCAATGCGCTCATCGTGATTTTTGAGGCATTATCTATGAGAAACAACTCTTATTTTTGCTCTAGCAAAAGTTTGCAACAGGCCCATTAGTGTTTGTAGTCATTATGGAAGCCTTCAAAAACCCTTCCACTTCCGAAGAAACCCGAATCAACATGAGGCAAACAGTCCACTGAAAACTATCTTAAACTCTCAGGAAGTATCTAAAGTCAAATTACACCCTTCCTCCTTTCATATTTTGTGCTTCTTAAGTTGCAACACAAAATTCAGCATTCTGAGTAAATTCTTCAATGTAAAGCTTCTTGGAAATATTTTAGTTTCAATTTTAACTTTAATAGACACTTTTACTTTTCGATAAGTGGTAAGTTCAAACTTGCAAAGAAAGTACCAGTTCCTCACATGTGAATTAAACCCTCTTTTATTAAATCCATCGTGTTGTACATGAAATTTTGATGAGATAACATGTACTTAGGTTCTTCTTTCTCACCCTGATAACCTCTAATGGTCCATGGTCATGTTTTCAGAAAAACTTCTCATAGGTAGTTTATGATTTGTTGAACCGAGTGTTCTGTATGCACATATCTTAATTACCCTTTATATTTCAGGAAATTACATTACCAAAGCGTACATGTCGGTGAGAGTCCTTATCATTGCAATGAGTGCGGAAAAGGTTTTGCATCAAAATCAGGATTGTACGGTCATCGGCAAGTTCACAAATCCACAGATTACTTCAAGTGTCAGTATTGTGAGAAGGAATTCACTGTAAGTCTTTTTCATTGCCAATTACAACTTAAATCTTTATTGAGAGAAAATTACCCTTCTTTTTCATGAAGAGTTTTAAGCCAACATTCAATATCCGTATTTGTATTCAGTAAAAAATTTTATGTAGAGTTATGGCTGAAGATCAACTCAAGTGCTCTCAATTATGGCAAACCTGTTAATTTTTTCAGCCTGACTAAAAAATTTGAGTGATAATGAAAGTAGGCTCTTTAATCGGTCAAGGGTGCTCCTCAGCCACAGCTAGATGTCGAAGAGCTTTTTTGAGCCCTAAAGTTGATTTTAGAGAAAATCAATAGCCATATCTGTTTCTTGCAAAATTTTACGAAGATGGTTAAATTGAAAATTTTCACTGCATGCAAGAACTTTTTCCCAACATTCGTCTCTTCTTAAGATTATCCTCTGATACTGCAAAGGAGTTTAACCTCCAAAGATCACAAAAGCTTATCTCCAAAAAATTACTGATGTCATTCACTTTTCTGTATTATTCTGTGACAAAATTTAGTTTCTCATGGAGTGTGTTTTCCTTTGTTTTTCAGCGTAAAGATAGCTACAATGAGCATCTTTTAATTCATATAGGTCCACGACATAGATGCCCACACTGTTCCAAAGAATTTGTTCAGCGATCTAATATGATTCGTCATATTAGAATACACACTGGTAATTATTTAACAAGATATTTATTCTTCGTTGCCAATTTTTCTCCTCTGTATTTACTTGAATGCTGCGCATGATGAGTCAAAAGCAAAGAAATTTCTTAGTTGCTTTTGTTTGACCTCATTGCTCAACATTGAAGTCAAAAAGAGGGCGGCAAGTTTGGTGAAGCGCATGAAGTTTTTTTAAAATTTTTCTTAAGTTAAAAAAAAATCTCTGATTTTTAAGCTGGGACCAAGGAACTAACCTTTTCTGTATTCAAGTTTTATTTTCAATTGCTTTTTCTATGTAGAGATACGTTAGCAGGATTGCTTCTCTGTGTGCAGGCCCATTTGTCAATTTATTAATATTTTTAGCTCACAGATTGCACTCATGCTAATGTATTTGGCCCTATCCCTGCATGAAGAGTTTGATTTGGAAGGCTGTTAATGGAATCAGCTTACCTGCACCTCTCGTTTTCTCCTTCTCCCTTGTGTTTTATTCTTCTAACAGAAAGTTGAACTAGTTGAAACCTTTGAACTTGCTGTTAATTTATCCTAAATTATCACCCCTTAAAATTTCAAGTCGCAGTGTTCCTCAGTTTTCTGTTTAAAAAATGAAACCTCAGAAAATGCTAGGCAACGTCCAATGTAGTTAGATTGATACGAGTCGAATTGATCAATTTAATAAAAAGGTTGTTTCTCTTGCAGAAAAGTTCACTTGCTCCAGCCTTAACTTAGAGAGCTTTTTTTGAGGATCGAGGTTAATTTTCAAGGAAACCAGCAGCATTATGCAAAATTTTAGTGGATGAAATTATTGAATTGAAATCCCTGCGACATGGTCCTCTCTTGCAACAGATTTGATGTGAAACGCGTGGCAGCCTGCATTTTAATGCCTAATTTTCACAATCATAGTTCTACATTTGAATAAATTCATGGACATTTCGCCCAACAACCTTCTAAGAACATTACGAATGAATCTGATGGTACAATCAGTCATTTATATCCATAAACATAGCACGAAGAGGACTGGTGTGAACAGAACTCAGACATATTCAGACAAAGCATGACAGGGTTTCTTCATTTATTGATGATTTCGTGCACTGAAATACTTTTAATTGCTTTTCAGGTGAGAAACCCTACAAGTGCACTTATTGCGACAAGACTTTTAGCGATAAGGGAGCGTGCAATTCTCACGTACGTGTTCATACTGGGGAAGAGACTTGTGCTTGTCCATTCTGTGGTCAAACTTTCTCGAAGAAACAGGTTTGTAGTTTTTGATTTCTCCTTGTAACATTCTGTTCAGAGATCAGCCAGAAAAGTTAAGTATCCAACTTATTCTAATCTTTGGAATTTGCCCAAGGCAATTGTTCTCCTCTTTTTTAAAACGATATCACTATACAACTGAATCTGTATGTTTTGAAGTCTCTAGAAAATTTGAAAATCGTAACAAATCAGTACTCTTCAGACAAACTGATTAATTAGCCCAAAAGTAGGGACGAGTTTAAAAAGGAAAATGCTATCAAATTATGAAATTTTCAATCAGCTTATCTCTCTCAATATTATTCCTCAGCCCCATGTTCATAAGTAGCGTCTTTGCCACTTCACTGTGAGATTTTTTAAAATAGTTTTGAACTGCTTTTGGATGCTCTGATCCTTTAGATTTTGAGAGTATTGCCTCTCAGGTGGCAATATTTTAACTTTCAACTCTAGTGGAGGTCAAAATAAACTAATGTGATGTTTCCACTTTTTTTTTTCAGAAATTGAAGTATCATGTTAGGAAACATACAGGAGAAGGTCTTGTCTCATGTGAAGTATGTAACAAAGTTTTTACGAACAGTTACACACTCAAGGAGCACAGGCTCACACATGCAAAAACAACAAAATCTTCTAAAGAGGCTGTCTGCAAGCATTGCGGAGAATCTTTTGACTCCTCTAAATTCTTACAAAGGCATGCTGCTATAGCTCATACAAGTGGTGTTATTTTTGGATGTCCGTTGTAAGTTTCAAGTTCATATTTCTCTCATTTAAAGTTATTGCGATTTCACTCCATAGGTGTATGCTTAATTTGGGGCTTATTGTATCCCTCCTCGTAATCTAAACTCATGAAATATAGATTCATGAAGAGAAAATATCTGTGAAATTAAGTTTTTAAATTTTGATTGTCTTTAATAGAGAATTTGCAGGTGTCAAACATTTTTTAAATTTCATCTCTAAAATGATCCTGCTAAGAAAACAGAGTACAAGGATATCCTTAGTTTCTAAATTGGACAATTATTGGAAAAAATATGACAAAATAACCTAATCTGCTAAAATACATGTGTTCAAATGGAAAATGCTGCCAGATGATGTCAGAAGGTGGCACATTTTCTCACTTTTAAATCTATTTTCCTCCAATTTCCCATGTCAGAAAAAAATTATGAAAAATACAGCAAACTCAGCTCATGAAGCACTCTCAGATGAAGCAATGACATGTTTGTGTGCAAATTCTCCGTTTCTCTCTTTGAATTAAAAGAAACCATTGAGAGAAAACTCGACCCTTTTTGCCCCCTGTGAAGTCATCTGTCAAAAGAAAACACCCATTTCTGAACAACCAGAATTACTGCTTTTTCAACAGATCGTCTCTGAATGCAATGAAATTTTCCATGTTCTACTGGTTGACAGAAGGTTTTGTGTGAATTTTTACATCCTTCGGTTGAAACATTTCCGAAATAAAATACATTAAAGTTTTGAGTCTTTCGAATAAAACTCAATTTTCAAGGCGCACAATAAGAAGAGTAGTGTAATGTTAAAAATGCTGAGAAGAATTCAACAACTAACCAGTGGAATAAAAATTTGAGTTTGCACATTGTCATGAAAGTAGCCAGATTTTGAGGAAAATAGTTTTCAGGGCTCAAATCTCTATTCTAGAGAGTTACTTTCTGGGGAAGAACCAGGAACATTGAGAATCTTTATTGTCAAAACCATTTTACACTATTGATTTTGTGCAGACCCAAGGTGATACGTTGTTATTCGGAACCTCTTATCTTAAATCAAGCCTCTCATTTCAACCCCTATTTCTAATAAGTCAGACCTCTTTACCAAAACATTTGTTCAAAACTGAGCTTGTGTTTATCTGTATTTTTTTAATTTGTGTTTTTGCATACTGTCCAGTTATTTCTTTCTCTCTCCCTGTTGCAGTTGTGAGAAAATATTTACTCAGCAAGCAAGATTGCGTTCTCACATCATGGCTCATGCAGATGTGAAGCATCTTAGATGTTTACTCTGCGAGGATGCTTACTCAGAACGACGCGAACTACAAAAGCACTTGGCCCAGAAACATGATGTTGACAGCGGGAGCCCTCATTACTTAACTTGCTTTCGAATTGTGACACCAGAAGAAATCGGCCTGTACATCCCTATGTTCCATGAAGACGACTTCAGTCAGCAAACAAATCTAGAAAGAGATAAGATCCTTCGTGAATATTTTACCGCTTTGACCTCGGGAAAAATCCGGAGCAAGGACAATCAGACTGTAAAGTTTAACTTTAAATTACTAGCAACTAAAAAAAAACGTAGGAGTAGAGCCAAACAAAGTGCCAGTAGCTCCAAACAAGACGATGGCAATAACCTACCGTACAATTTAAGAGAAAATCCACTTAATCATGATTCTGATAGTAATGAAGCATCTGTTATCAATCAGTTTGAAGATCAGTTTGAGGACCCTGCTGATCAGGTATATTTGGCGCACCTTGCAGAACCAGAATTAGCATTCTCAGCATTTGACAATCTAGGGATTGAAAGTAAAAGACTAAAGCTAGCCGATTGTAATTTAGATGTTTCCTCTTGCGATTTAATGGAAAGTTCTTCCCCTAAAAAATTTGCCTTGCCAAATTCTACCAAAAAACGCGAAAAGCAGAAGCGAAAGTCCAAAGCGTTGCCACCAAGAAAACTTCAAATCGCTGAAATACCAAGTGATGAAAGTGAAGATTTTAGTCGTCTCACTGATGGCCCATCCACAGTTGGTGAGAGTGTGAGTGAAGAGTTACCGAGAATCCCTAAAATAACTGTAAAAAAGAGTATGTTAAAAGAATCAAAATCTTGGGCAATTGAATCAAGTAAACTTGGTGATTGCCTGCAAGTGGACGGAAGTAATCAAAATACCACTAATGTCTCTGTCAGTTTTAGCGATGATGAAGAAAGTAGTGATGAAGACACAGATGACAGTTAAATACCATTACTTGAATAGTTTTGTACTCTCACGTGGGGTTAAATGTCTTTATGGTGGATTGTGTTTTCAGTCTGAACTGAAACATTAAAGAGGATGTTGTTGATACATTCTGACTCAAAAATTTCTCAATTATGAGAAACCTGTTTTTCTCTCATCTGCCAAAGTCAGTAAATTTGCCTTTATCGACACTTGTAGCATATGGTCAACATTTTGATCCATAAATACTGGCAGCTTATTTTATGCATCATTATTTTATTGCTTCTGACTAACTCTTGGTTTTATGACTGACATCACTGAAATAGTGTGATTTTCAATGTCTCCTTTTTGTACTTTCAAATTAGCTGCTCCGTTTATTTTAGGTTGTTACCTTGTATTGGAAGCCTGGAATTGGTTTTACCTCCACATCTGTTTTTCTATATGTTTTGTTTTAACCAATAGATCAATTGTTTGTTTGTTTTTTTTCTGCTCTAGTCTTTTAACTCAATCGAACTGTCAACACGGTTAGTTGTGCTTTTTTTAAAGATGTTTTAGTGAATTTTTTTTGCTTTATAATTTTTATTTAGTTGGAATCTTTTTTTTCCTTATAGTAGAGAAACGAGGGGGCTGATTAAAAAACTTCACAAAAGACGGACGTAATATCTTACTCGAAACTAAAATTAATTTTATTATATCCATCTCCCTCATATAACAACTCAAAGATTGTAAATCTCTACTTTTGATCAGTAATCATTTCACTGTAAGCACAGGAATCGGAACACAACCTACCCCTGAGTTTGAAGTGTACTGAAATAAATTTGTTTTATGTTGTAACAAATATTTTATGTTTGTTCATCTTTTGTTCTGCACTTACTAGCCGTTAAAGTAGGTTTTTTAAACTAATGAATCATATTGTTACTCCTGACATTTGATCAATTTTACCTCTTCGTTCTTATAATTAGGTAGACGTTTATATTTATCTGTTGTTACTGCGTTATGTAATTTAATCGTTGTGAGAGATTTTATTTTTGTATACTTTCCTCTTTTATCCACTACCATAAATTGTGGATTCAGAAATTACTTCATCTAGAATTACTTTTCTGAAAATATTGAAGTGCTGAGAACTGTTTCATGAGTAAATGTAAGTTCATACTTTTCTAAGAGACAGTTGTCTGCCCAACCCTATGTTCGTATTAAAAATAAATCAACGTTTTATTCTAAACCATATCTGCGTGTTTCACTCATTTTCATACTAATTGGGGAAATATTTAGCTTATAAAATATTATTGGTGAGACCAGAAAAGCAAATATCTCAAATGAAGGCCCTACTAATTTTCCTTCTTTAAACAAATACCAAGTAATATTTTCTTGTGACATTGCTGAGTAATATTTTCATAAATTTTATAGTCAAGGGAAAATTGTGTAAAAATTAATGAACAAAAAATTTATGCTTTTCCTGTAACGACTTAAGACTATGGGCAGTAACTAATGAATGTTGCAAATCCAGATACCTATACATTTTTTTCGAGTCTCACCGCTGACATGGTATTTATGTGTCAATATAGATTTTAACAACCTTGTTTTATGGACTTTTCTTTCCAAAAAATAATCAGCCTTACAAACGCACGGTCTTTATACTTAAACTAGGTATGCCTATTTATTATTATCTGCCTTTCACCTCCATTCACCTCACTCGCTTTTAAGCCCGATCAACATCAAGACAAGGAACGTTGAAACTTCCTGCAGGCATAAACGAGGGGAAAAAGTGAACAGAAAAGTATATAAAAGAAAAAGTTGCAGCCCATAAAAATTGAGGATATAGTTTGTTGATTTTTTACGTAAATTTTACGTTTTCTTTCAGTTAAAATAGCACTATTTTTTTTTTTTTTTATTTAAGTATTCCCCAAAAGGGTTTCCTAAAACGAGTATTTTAAGAGTTTGTTTACTTAACATTTACAAGTTTTTCACATTTTTTTGACAACTTTTCGTCGAATTTTTTTTTAAGAGCCATTGTTAGGGCAATAAATTCGTTTTTTATTGAAGGAAATACGGCAACGTCTGTGGGCTCTTACGGCGTTCTTCCTGAGCACGGCAGTATGAGCTAGGGCTAAACGTGCTCTCGGCGTAAACCTCGTTTACCTAAAAAAGGGAACTTAAAATAAGTATCGATGCAAGAGCAGGGCCGGATTAAGGGGGTGGCCACATGTGCCACGGCCCATGGCGGCAAATCTATAGGGGGCGGCAAATTTTGCGATTTTTTTAAATGTAGGTAAAAAAAAAATCGAATTTAGAATGAACATTACAAACGAGAGAAGGCGACAAAATCTCTCATTTCCTGAGAGTCTAGTACTTAATTTCTTATTTTGTCGTCTTTCAGTGATACAAGAGAAAGCACCTTTAATCAGTCGAGTTAAGAGAGAAACCAAACACACAATTTGGCCTTGAACGGCGCCACTTAGAGAGAAATGATAACGAGGACTTGAGATGAAAAGGAGAAGCCCTCGGCGCGGCGTTCGGCATGTAACACATATTAGCGCCTACAAGACTGGACGAATACTTCACACATTGCATCAAACACAGTGCGTTCAGCAGCGGTCGGCGTGAAACGGATGGTGCCTACAAGACTATCTGAATACTTCACGCATTGCGCCAAACACAGTGCGTTCAGCAGCGGTCGGCGTGAAACTCATAGCGCCTACAAGACTGTCTGAATACTTCACGCATTGCGCCAAACTCGGTGCGGTCAGCGTGGCGCGGCGGCGGAAGTTAAAATCATTAATCCACATTTAAGTTTGTTCTTTCATAATTTGTTCGTTATCATTTTTTATGAATGGAAGGCCTTGTCCACACAGAGATAGGTTTACAAAATGTAACATTCGCGCAAAGCTCCATGAACTTTTGCTAGTATTGTTGACGGGGCTTTCCCGAAAAATGTGTTCAACACGAATAAACGCGCCTTATGCACTCCTCCTCCGCTGGCACGTATGGTTTTTATTGATGTTTCAAAACGAATGAGAAGGGGGCGGCAAAATACGGGCGGCCCATGGGCGGCAAGTAGATAAATCCGGCCCTGTGCAAGAGCAGCAGATTTTTCGTATTAATTTTTTATACACCTAAATAAATGATATTCTTGGTGTGTATGTTTGTCAAAGGCAAAGTCCTTTTTGCAATACTGCCATGCTAAGGAGGAACGCTGCAGGAACATTCTAGAGTTGCCAAATCACCCTAGTTAAAACATGTGTTTCTGAGGAAAGTCATTCATGTTTTCCCTCGAAATTTCCAGATATTCTTGATTAAATTGCAAACAAAATTGTCCAAAAATCTAAAGAAGATTATTCAAAATTTGTCCGGGTAATTGTTCATTTGTAAAATGAAACATGGCAACGTCTGGAGGCTCATACGGCGTTTTTCCTAGCAAGGCAGAATTACGGTGTGACGGTTGTTGCGTCGCGCGGCGTTTGCGTTAGTTGCCTAGGCAACCTGCTGGCCCCATAGTTGCCCTGAAATCGAGGCGCTCCAACTCAGTATGAATGACACCTATTCGTTACCACCCGGGTTTTTTCTTAATTTTGTCTGAAAATTAAACGTACTTTCTCTAAGCGGGCTCAAAATGGTTTTCCACCGTTGTTCTATGTAGTTTATTTTTGGCACATCCCACTCACCACAGATTGTCTTTGAGCGCTAATATTTTAAAATGCCGCGTAAACCGACCCCAGATTTTCAAAGTGGAATTTACCTCAGTAAAACACCCATTGACAAGTTGAAAATACGGTAAGTAGTGTCGTCAAGAGATACATTAGCACTTATCGCAATTGAGACTGGCGGAACATAGCGCTTACCCTCATTACGGTAGTGCGAGCTTCTGGAAAACTGTAGGTACTTTTCGACATGTAGGTATTGTTGTGTTATATTTCCCTTGACCTCTGAATATGCGTTTTCCAACCAAGAATCCGAAACTATAACTTGAAATTAAAAGGGGGGGGGGACTTTACGCGGAACAGGCACGGAACTTTTCGCAAAAGGAAAGTTCCGTAAACCTATCTCTGTGTGGACAAGGCCCTCCATTTATAAGAAATGAACGAAAAAATTATGAAAGAACAAACATAGGTAAATGTGGTTTAATAATTTAAACTTCCGCCGCCGCGCCGCGCTGACCGCACTGTGTTTTGCGCAATGCGTGAAGTATTTCTACAGTCTTGTAGGCGCTATGCGTTTCACGTCGACCGCTGCTGACCGCACTGTTTTTGACGCAATGCGTGAAGTATTTCTACAGTCTTGTAGGCGCTTTGCGTTTCACGTCGAGCGGTGCTGATCGCACTGTGTTTGACGCAATGCGAAATTCCTGTACTCTCAGGAAATGAGAGATTTTTTCGCCTTTTCTCGTTTGTATTTTCTTCTGAATCCGATTTGCTTTATACCTTCACTTAAAAAAATGGCAAAATTTGCCGCCCCCTAAATTTGCCGCCATGGGCCGCGGCCCATGTGGCCACCCCCTTAATCCGGCCCTGGTGTTATCAAGTTGGCTCATCAAAATGGAGTAGGGTGAAGGGTCTCAAGTCTCAACTTAGGAGAGTGTTGCAGCCAAATGAGTAAATATCGCCTTCAGGTGGCAAAAATACCGCACCGCACGACTGCCGAGTTTGAATAGTTATCGCTTAAAATAAACTATCTTTCTTGAAGGCGCAATCACCAAGCGGACTTCTTGGAATGCAAGCGATAATTATTTTAAAACGGCTGTCGTGGGGGTTGCAGTTTCGTAATTTTGAAGGAGATTTCAGCGCACGCACCATGAATAGACCTCAGAGTCTTACGGAATGAATCCCACCCTCATTTTTAACGAAACATATCAATGTGAAACTTCACACCAGTCTTACCTCACACGACGAGATTTTCCCCGTCCTCAATCTGGAAAAGAATTGGGCATAGAGAGAAAAAAAAGGACGTGTTGGCATCTTGAGGTTTGTTTACCCTGTGACGTAGGTCGGTACAACCTGGTCAGCGAAATCCGGAATTCGGAGTATGAAAAACGGACCACAATGTCCCATTTTTTTGCTTAGTTCAACTCATGATATAATTTCAAGCACTTTTCACAGAATGACTTTTTCCATAAAGTAGGTACACCATTTCCAAGAAAATCGGTGATATAAAAGTCGCTGTGCCGACCTACGTCATCAGAAAAATTCCGAGATGCCCGAAATGCAAACACCTCTTTTTATTCTCTATGAGGATTGGGTCTACTGCTGAAGGTTACCTTCACCCACAGACATATTATATCTTAAATTTTTCCTCGTGTTTGCAGCGTTGTACTGGAAATGGTAACAACAACAGCCCTGGAGGAAATTAAACCTCCAAGCGAGGCCCCTGATGAATCGAAAGAACCAGTGCAGGTATCAAAAGCTCGGGTCAGTGAGCAGAAGGACTTTTCATGGCAAAAGCGCGTTTACTGCAGCAGAGAGGTCGAATTTTATAAGAAAGAGAGTAATTGTCGGACGCAAGATTCCAAACGGCACCATGAGAAAATCAAGCAAATATTGGACGAATCTGATGGGACTGTGCCCAAAAGTCGTTTATACTCTTGCGTTGAATCTGATGAAGTTACGTCAGAGGTAAGATTGAAGTAAATTTTGATTTTAAGAACACTACTAGCAAAAGTTCACGGAACTTTGCTCGAAAGTTAGGTTCCGTAAACCTATCTCTGTGTGAACAGGGCCTTCCATTTGTAAGAAATAAACGTAAAAATTATGCAAGAAAAAACATAAATGTGGTTTAATAATAATTTTAACCTCCGCCGCGGCGCTGCGCTGACCGCACTGTGTTTGACGCAATGCGTGAAGTATTCCTTCAGTCTTGTAGGCGCAATGTATTTCACGCCTACCGTCCCTGAACGCATACTGTGTTTGACGCAATGCGTGAAGTGTTCATGAAGTCTGGTAGGCGCTATGCGTTTCACGTCAACCGCTGCGCTGCTGTCCGCACTGTATTTGACGCAATGCGTGAAGTATTCATGCAGTCTTGCAGGTGCTAATATGTGTTACATGTCAACCGCCGCGCCGCGCCGCACTGAGGATTTCTCCTTTTCATCTCAAGTCCTCATCATCATTGCTCTCTGCGCCGCGTCGCTCCATGCCAAATTGCGTGTTTTCTTGTGTCACCGAAAACCGAAGGACGCTGTTCTCGTTTGTAATAATTTTTCTGAATCCAATTTTTTTTATACTTATATTTAAAAAAAATTGCAAAATTTGCCACTCTCTAAATTTGCCACCATGGGCCGTGGAACACGAAACCGTGGAACACGAAACCGTGGAACACGAACCGTTCGAGGGCAACGAAATTATTGAAATAAATATGAAATTTAATGCAATTGAATTGCAATTTTTCACCGTTAGATTGCATTTTTTTTACATCATTTGGCCAATAAATATCGACCTCAGACCATCAATAAAACGAGTGTCTATTCGATGTATCGGAAACGTAGGTAATTTGCAATGCAAAGAAAAGTAGCCACTCTTTTCAATTTTACTACAATATCTTACAATAGGAGGAACCCCTTCAATTAGTTGATTGGCAACATATAAAACACGCCGACCCAGTACCGATAACTTCTGCACGTAGGTAATCTCGATGAATTACAACCTGCTCTATTGGAAAATAGGAGGATCTGTGACCTGATTTGCATTAATTCTTACTCAGCACGCAGTTGTCTGTTAAGTTTCGATTATTGGCTTAGTTTGATAGAGACTTATTCGTGGACGATTCAAGGCTCCAGTCTACGAAACTGAGCAGGGACATGAAGTGCGTGCAGACCAAGTGCCCGATGAGCTTTCGACGGCGGTTCAGAGACCCTTTTCGCCGCCTATCTTCCATCGTCGACTACAACCCTTCCAAGGACACCCAACTTCGGAATCGACTCATCGCCACTCCCACAGAAACCATGTACATCCTCGCAGATCTCAGCCAGAACAATGACAAGTAAGCCACTAAGTTCAGAGCCGATCCAAGTCATCGTAAACTTAAGATACCATACTGCCATCTAAGGGATCTTTCTAACGTAAATCGTTTTTGACTTAATGGGAGGAACTCTGGATTTCCACAAATTGAATCATTGTTTCATTTGACTCTAATTCATAAGTGGACCAAGAAACTTCAAACGGGGGGAGGGGGGAGGCTTTTTCCAGACATTTTTGGAAGTTTTGAAACATTTGTTATGTACTGTGAGTAATTTTTGCAGCGGATAATCACCAAATATAAGTGCCGTTTCTTCTTCTCTCCTTCCTTCTTTCTTATTTCCCTCTTCTCTCCTTCCTCTATCCTTCTTCTTTCCTCTGTTCCTCCCTTCTTTCTTCCTTCCTCCTTTTTTCGGGCGGACGAGGGCAAATTCACCTCCTTCGCTGGTTCCGTCTATGCTCTATATTATAAAAACAGACAGACTGATCGATTGAGAAGTAAAGAAGTTTCCAATTGTTTAAGAGGACATTAAAAAAAAAAAAAAAAAAAAAAAAAAAAAAAAAAAAAAAAAAAAAAAAAGAAAAAAAAACGCAATGTTTTTGCAGGGAATATTCCTTCCGATTCAAGGAGCGATATTTCCCAATATGATTACAGGAAATGACGTTACACAGTCTATGACGACTGGACAGCCAAGTTCCGTCAGTTTGTAAAAATCATTATTATAAAACCGTCGATTTTCTGTGTTGCAGAGAGGTTGAAAACCTCCTTTATACTCCGGCCGATTATCAATATATTTTGGTGAGCTTACAATGGCAGCCATTGCTGGGTACCTTGATCATCCTGCCGGATTTCCTACCTGACACATCGAATAATGGCTACAGCATTAAACTCTCGCACGATTTGATGAACATCGAATACAGGTGAAGCCCGAGTTGAACTTTCATTTTTTTCTTTGCCCAAATCTATCTTTACGGAAGAATTAAGAGGGCAGCAATAATAATTCGGATAACTTTAAGCTTGAAGTTTGTCCAATTTCATAAATGTTCAAAAACGATTGTGCGGACTTTCGTGCTTTCAGTGAGTTTTCTCCATAGTGCGAAGCAAATTCCTTGAGGTTTTCAAAAGAATCCGCACAAATTTTCTCCCGAATACAATAAAATTGCCCAGTTAACTTTGGCAATAGCTGATGTGGCTTGGTTCCTTTCTGCTAAACGCGGTACATTTGTAATATTGTATCCAGCGTGCCATTCACGTGTCACGGAAATGTAGCAAAGGAGAGAACGTGCTTTGATTACGGCGCAGCGATACAACTATTCGTACTTGATGGATGTCTGTGTTGCATGCGCAAAATTGAAGGCGCGATGGCACGATGTGTGAACTCGCACCGCTCCTCTCTATGCTGCAAGTGAGGTGTCGCTTCGCTTGTCATGCTATCGCTTTCGATTAGCGATGTACCCGGGACGTACTAACACTTTTAAAGATGAAAAACCACCGTACTGCCGAGCAATAGAAGAACGCCGTATAAGTCAACAGGCGTTGCAAAATGTCCTTCGACAAATTACGAATTTTCCTGAAAATTTGTGATTGATTTTCTTCCGATTTTTCAGGGGAAATCGTTCGTAATTTGATCTAATAAGTCTGAAAATTTCAAGGAAAAACATTCATAACTTCCTTCAACAATAAATACTTTCTGAGAGGAAATTTGGCAACGTTCGAATGTCCTACGTCGTTTTTACTTAGCACTGCAAGGTAAACAACAATGGACCGAGTTTAACGGAGCGGAACCAACCCACATAAAGTTGAAACTGAGAAAAAGAGGTTTGAAGTTTTATTTGTAGAGAATAAACTTCAACCCTTCTTAACACAGACTATTTTTTTTTTTATTTTTGTCTCGACTTTGAGTTTTTAGCAGGGGAGTATATAGGACTAGTACATACATTTTTTATTTTTATTTTTTTTTTTTTTATTACATATCGACTTCTTTATACAGAAATATGATACATTGTTATAGCATTAATTAGTAATTAGCTTTTATCGACTAAAAATATTAGTACATACATACATGAGTCGCTTTTATAGCGCTCTCTGGCGCTTTGCGACGCCTAATCTCCACAAAACTCGGTCTTCTCATAGGTCATCAGGGAGTTGACACTCCTTCATCTCATTCAACACCCCCTGTCGCCACCCTCTCACTGGGCGTCCCCTTCGTCCCTGCACACTCCTTCCTGATGAACTCGGTCCAACTTATCTCTTGTGAATCCTTCTGCACGTCAGGTACTGGGTCCAGAACGTGAGCGAGACGTCTTTGGACCACCAACGGCTGTCGCAGAAGCTGCTATCGATGCGTCCCCGGCAACTTGGGCCGACGGTGGACCCGACGATGGAGTTCGAGGTCCCGGAGCGGAGCACCCTCGAGTGCTTCGTCTTCGTCGAGCTCGGGACGGCAGCCCGCTTCGACTGCGACCCCGTCTTCGCCTTCTACTCCGTCCACCTGCCCCCCGGCTGGCGGACTCACGAGCCCGAGGCCCTCCACGGCGCCACCCACCTCTGCCACGCCGCCAACGGCCGAGCCGTCTTCTCCCACCTCCTCGAGCTCAAGCTCGTCCTCGACTTCGCCGCCCTCGAAATCGACCCTGCCGGTAAGTTTGAACCCACAGCCTCGAGCAGACCAGCGGGCTGATTATTTATACTTATAGACAAAGCTATAGGTAAAGAAGACACAGGGAGTATGGAGGAATCCAATTGGTTGAAGTGGACGGTTCTTATAGACTAAGAGAGAAAATGATGGACTAGCTATGGGGTTTCTCATGGGTTGCCGTTAGCTAGTCTATTACCTACTCCTTTGTCCATCCATTGCAATTATAACCACCCGCCTCCACCAATAGGATCCCTCCGTATCCCATTGTCTTCTTTGTCTATATAGCTTTGTCTATTGATTTCAATTGAAAAATATCAATGTGACGTAGACGGAATCAGGTGGTGGTGGGGGTCCGAGGTGCCACGCGAGAGCCGGAAGCTGTGCTACCGTACTAAGGAGGAACATTCGAGAGTTGCCAAATTGCCCCCGATAAAATGTGTATTTTTGAGGAAAGTTATGCATATTTTTCCTGGACATTTTCAGATATCTTGGATTAAATCACGAAAAAAATTGTCTAAAAAATTGGAAGAAAAATATTTAAATTTTTCCCGATAAATTCGTATTTCATCGAAGGAAACTTGGCAACGCCTGGAGGTTCATACGGCGTTCTTCCATAGCACGGTAGTCGGCGGAGTGAGCCCTCACATCAAGGAACTCTCCCCCTCCCTTACGGTCACGTTTGCAAAATAGGGGAAGGAAGACGTCCTATCAATCTTGGGTATGCATCCAAAAATAAGCAGTACACTGCAATTTCAAAACATTTAAATGACTTGACGTTCATTTACAACAAAAAGGAGATTCAATTTTAAGATTGGGAGGGGGGGGTGGAGGACGGGTTAAAATTGTCTAGACTACGCCGGTGCCTCGGTATCGTAGGTGCCAAAAGCTACGCTACCATTGGATATCACGCCGTCAAAGGCAGGACCTCGGTTTCGTAAAGGCCGTAACTCCCT